AATAAATAAATAAATATATATATATATATATCGTGACCGGTCGACGCGGTCGCTTCGCGCCCAAGCCTTCGAGGGCTTAGACGCTATCGCAGCCTTTGAAGGCTTGGGCGCGACGCGACCGCGTCGACTGGCCCCGATCTGCTCGGGACCGTCCTCGCGCTCGTTCGCCGGCTCGCTCGCCGGCCGGCCGGCAGACTATGAAAACAGCATAAAGGGCCTCATCCCCCATAGTTGGCTGGATAAGTGTCTTCGTTATTGCTCGGCCATATCAATTTTTTCGAAAGCTTGACGACTCGAGTAGGACGTTTGCGATCAAGAAAACGAGGTTTACTCTCAGCTCTAACAATCTTCCTTGCCTACATCGAACTACTAAGAGAGGAGCTGGAAAAATTCGAAGACATCGTTGGTGATTTCACACTATGATTAACCCGAGAAGGAATGAGCAGGTGAAAGACTGTCTGAGTTGATCATGTTGACCCTACCAACCCTGATAATTCGCAGCCTTCCATTCGTTATGGACTCTGTGGTCACCTGGTAGACAGTATAATGAAATAGACCACATCATCTCTAAAAAAATCTGCAATCTGTTTGCAGTTCCAGCACCCTGTTGTTTCGAAGTGCTGCCACGCCAGGGTGCTGGAACTGCAAACAATCACCAACATTCAGAAAAAGCATCCGCAGAACCCTCCAAAGCTTCGCTATTCACGCCAAGACTGTGATGACTTGATTTCGTGCTGACGGAACAGTTACTAAATGTCGAAAGACGAAGAAGAAATTTATTCACGACTCCACTCGTATCCTGCGTGCACCATCTTAGACACGACAAATATGCCGTCCCTTTTGAGTTTCCTGCCGGAGTTGGTCATGCCATCACGTTGATCAAGAATTGTACTGCCCCCATTGCTGATGGAATTTAGCAAGACTGTGCTCATGTATAAAAAGAGTGATACAGACGATGTCGGCAATTGCTTCAAATTGGATGCTATCTGCAATCTATGAACTATAAAAATAAACTATAAACTTAAACAAGAGTCATCTTCGATAGGACTGGTAGGCAGACGACTTGATGAAGGACCTTGCGAGCAAGCATGAGAAGGAAGCTCCTGGCGCGGCATTTAGAGGCACAGTTCATGATAGCTATGAGGTACCACTTTGAAGTTGAAAAGCCGTGAAGATCAGTGCATAGGTAATGAAGAAAGTGAAGAAATTGGCAGAATTCTTCGACTATACGGCCTCTTGTAAGTGCTGGAAATGAGGGTTGTACGAGTTCTTGCGATTGCGTGAACAGCTAATAGAATTAGGCGGAATTCGCTCAAAACTGTTTTCCCATGGGTCACGGCTAGACATTCAAATTCCTTTATGGATGTCCCTTGTGAGTAGTGCAACCTCTAGAAAGCTGTAAGAGGTCATCCCCCACGAAAGTGGCATACAGTTCATGCAACCATTGAGCGCTTAGTCTCGAATCTAGGCTGTTTTCTGACCTAATAGCGCAGCAAATAGCATGGTTAGATGCCACAGTTTCATTCTGAGGGAGTATTTCAAGAAACAGGATCGCGCTCACCTTTTCGACACTGTGGTCCTTTCTGCTCTGGCATACGCCTCAGGGACTTGAACTCTACAGAGAGCAGAATGAGCATGTTGTTAATGTCATCCAACGCGCTTGGCAAAGGACGATGCTGGTTGTTACGCTAGTTTTGAGGAGAATCTGGAGTTTCGAGCTCGTTCAATGAATGGAGTTCAGGGACGCCGTTGACTACGACAAGAAATGACAGATCAATCAGGCCAGATACCTTGTGCAAAATTGTGATGACCGTTCGACCAGATATTGGCTGCATCCCTTAGAACACCGAACAAACACCAGGACGGCCGCCAGCGTTGTGACCGGATTTCATCACGGGAGCTTTGAAGGTAAGGAATGCTATGCTTTGTGAACACCGAGAGAATCCGCTGGACTACGTAGCTGGCGGCAGAAGTGAATGGAAACGTGACTAGAGACTGCTCCACAAAAAAGATAATCAACTTGACGGATAGGTTATATGGGTGAATGCATCAAATAATCCTTCATTGAATGCTAGCAAAATCGAGAGGTCTCTCACCGCATTTTCTATACATCAAGAAAGAAAACTTTCAGGTTGTGTGATGGCTATGCGCCGGTTCGTTTCAAATGGTAGCAAAGTCTTCTCTGTGGTTGCTGTGTTTCAGTCAGCTGATCTGATTAGGAATAAGAGATACATAAGAACGAATAGACGCCATAATTCAATAAAGGCTGTCAGGAAGAGAAAAAGGTCAAGACAAGAGATTGGAGAAAGGGTCTTTGGCAACAAAAATCTAAACCTCTTAACCTTAATCAAGCCAGTCATTCTTCTTATAAATTACGTACAGCAATAAAGCTGTCAGATCCCCATCGCTGCTCCGCGCGAGCTAACTTACTCGTGATTTCAAAACTACCCTCCACTCAACATTCACACCGTTATTCATTCGAATCTGGCAACTCGTTCACAGACGATTACATCTCGACTTCCTCTTATCAAAGTCGAGACTAATCGCATTGTGACGCTTGATCATCGGAATGAAAGCGGCTGCTGTTTAGACCACAATCTTTCTAAACTATGGTGAGTTTCCCCCTTGAAATTCTTTCTACAGCGATCCTCTTGTATAAATACTTAGGGAATATACAGAAGTACCTAATGTTTGCACTTTATCTCCTCCTATGCCGGGCACTAGGAGCAGATGTAGATGGTTAGTCGCCGTTTGGCATTGATACTGAGTTACTTGAAATCACGATTATTATCAATGCTTACAGATGCCCAAAAAATCCTACCGGAGGAGCAGGTGTTGAGCGGTGAACCTTTAGTGGACTATCTCAGAAAAAATCAAGACCTCTTCAAAGTAATCGTTTTTTCATTGAAAAATCCCTGCAGGATCTGGCGCTCGAAAGTCTCCGGCCAAGCACTTGCTCGTTCATAACTTTTAGTAGAGCAAATTTCGCGAAGTTTTGATGTGCATAACTGAAGCACATTTCACTATTTGACTACGAAGCAGCAATGTCCACTTAACTAAAGGAAAGTACTTGTTGCGGTATTAGACTTCGCTGAAAGCAAGGTTGACGATGTCTGCAATTAATCGCACCTTATGTGCGTTTTTCTCCTTCACTGTGTTCGGCATTAGTGCTCGTATACTTTAGACATGGCAAGTAGAAAATAAATCTCAGAAGGATCAATATCAGTATTTCCAAGTGATTATGAGTTTAAGCTTTTTGGGATCTGGAACACAATTAGGTTGCAGGTTTACAGTGACAATATTCGCAATACTCCCATGCTATAAATAACGAAATTTCGCGTGATCAAATCCAGTACGAAAGGGGTTACGACAGAAAAATACGACTCGAAAAGCATTTGGCCGAAGACTTTTGAGCGCTATTGTACAATCAACACAATTTCAGAAAATTTGCTTCAGGTGAGAATGTCTCCAACACCTGGTTTCAAGCAAAAGTTGATGGATATGAAATTTAGAAGTCGAAAAATAAGTCCAATTGTCATTGACGACAACGACAGCGGCGATGACATTCCTGAGGAGTATGTTACGGTTTTTGGCGCCGATACAAAGACATCCTAGGATTAGATAGAAATTAAGGGTACAAACTATGTTAACATCTTAGCTTTCGTTCGCGAAGAGTCGGCTACGGTGTGGAAAGGGCTTCGAAAACAGGTCAACATTATACTTGACAGCCCTTTCGTTGTCGTAGGCAAACCATAGACCAGCAACACCATGAGTGAAAAAGATGGGGGTGTTTCTTGTTGTGTGGTTACCTACGTATGCTCATCTTTACAGGTGTAATCGGACTTGGCTGGTGTGAACTTCCCGTGCCACCTAACAATAGAAGACTATCATTGGATGCATGTTCTGTATCAGTTGTCGTTAATTATCAGTTTGCTCGAGTGGGTACCACTAACAACTCCGCTCGTCTCAGCCGCAAGTCATAGTAGTTCCTGATCGTCTTCGCTCAAGAGTCGCGAGGCATACCACTCTTTTTCTCAAGAAAATAGACTGGTATATTACGGCCACTCTGAAGAGTCTACGTCGGCCGAACCAGTTTTCGAGTCCTAATTACGTCCTGTCCAGGCCGTCTTTTGGCCCGACAACGACTCTTAAACTATAGTTTAGGTGCCACAGATTTATTTTGGCGGGGAATCTCAGAAATAATTTTGATTGTGAAGCTAAGCTTTTGAGGTGTCCTGTAACAGTGTCGATGCGGTCGAATGTACTGATCTGCCTCTAAAACCTGCATGCTGTCATGGCTTTCCTTCTTCTATAATAATACTCTAACAATTCTATCAAGGAGGGCTTGTGTGAAAAATTATAGATTACCGACAGCATGCGGAATGGGCGGTGGTTGCCAACGGTGACTAGATCTCCCTTGTTATACTGCAGCACAGTCCTATTAGTTTTCAACGACGTGTCCCACTTTCAGTTTCTACTTTCCTTCCCACAGGAACCGCTTAAAGTATCCAGCCAGTGTTTGGTGAGAGGCTCTTAAAATTTTCAAATTTCCTTCGCCGACTGATGCCTACCGAATTTTGGAAAGAAGACTCGAAGGAACACCCTGAGGGTTCAAGACAACCATGCTGCCTACGATGGTAAGTAGCCAGATAGACGAAAATGTCAAAAAGATAGATGATCTCTCGACAGTCCTCCGAGATGCAGGAACCGTTCCATATGGATGAGAAGGAAAGTTATCTAAGTCTCGTAAGTTGCGAGGCTTAGGCAGACACTGCAGAAACTTTTTCCAATAACAACCACAACTGCTGAATTTCTCCCTTTCGAATTTTCCTTCCTGTATCGCTTCTTTGTTAGAACATTCATTGTTGATTGCCTGCAATTCCTCGCCGGAGTATCAGATTGAGTGTTTTCGGTGGAAATCTTCGAAACCCGGTAGCTTCCTCCATGGACGTTGTCGATAACGGAATCTTCCCACAATTTCGCAAGGAAAGCGCAGTGGCCTCAATTGATGACGGTCGTAGGGTTTCCTCCCTTGAAGTTCGTAGCTCTCTTCCCACCCATCGAGCAGAGCGGAATCCTGCGAGGATGGCAAGATAATCCGATCCTGTGACCCCGATCCTCGAAACAACAGCGACGTCCGCGAGGCAAGATTTGTTTCTGAAGATAATATGGTTTATTTCAATATACTGTCTACAAGATGACTGCTAGGTCTATCGCAAATGTGAGTGGTTCTGGAAATGGAATGATCAGAGATGGTATCAGTCGACATGATATCATGATAACCAGCCCAGTGATTCCAGTGCCAGAACCAATCACATTTGCGATGGACTTAGCAATCTTTCATCTGCTCGTTTCATTCCGCTTCGTGAGTTTCGACATAGCTGTTTAGCGATTCTTCTCGAGCCAATCTTGGTGTTTAGTCACTGGAAGAGAGTATGGCTTTCTTCTTTGGACTTCTTCTGGTGCATATGAAACGATTTAAGCTCTTCTCTTTTTTGTGCACAGTTCACGATAATTTCGAGCACTCCTTTTTTGTCGAAGACAAAAAAAAAAACAGAATCAAAAGTTAGAGATACTTTATCGGTATTGAATAGTGCGCGAAAATTGTGAGAATATAAGGCTCTTTAAAAGTAGGGAAAAAGAGGTTGGACGCGATCACAGTGCCGGATATAATATGAAGGAGATATTCGGACGAGATTTCAGTTGTGGCGATTGCACAAGTCGCCGACTGAATCAAACAAAAATTGTCCAGAACTGCCTTTCACTGTAGCTGTTAGTCACTACAAGTTGCATGAAAGGGTTCCTCCTACATTTGTTCTCTTGTGATCGGTGCAGCATCTGCATTGCCGGTGAAGTTAATTCAAGGATACACTTGGAACAACCTTATAGCCTTTATAATGCCCTATCTCGACCGCCTCAGGAGGAGAGCTCATAAGACATTTTTATCGTAAACTGTGCACTCGATAGTTGATGTTGTTGCGCATGCAACGAATATTGCTAGGCTCAAGAACAATTCTACTCTTGAGCGAGTGACCGATCAGAGGTGTCAACCTTTCGTGCGATCGATGTTAATGGCGAGTACGTGTTAACGGGGCATCATTCAATTTGATCTGCTGTCGATCTTGTCAAGCAAGAGTTTTCTCTCGTCTTGAAAACGGCGTGCAGCTGAAAATGCCTTATCGTCACGGCCAGTCTGATGACCTCGTTCTTTGTCTTCCTGACACGCTTCGTCAAGTCTCCAATAATACCAAAAAAGGATACCACAACGGCGATTTGTAGTTTGTAATTTGTATACACGAGCGTGTACCAATGATAAAGTACAGATCGCCGTTGTGGTCAGTCTCTTCTGAGTCGCGCTGCTACAGCCTTGAGATTGCAGCAGCCGAGCTCTCAGTCCTACCCAATGTTGCCGTACAAAGGGCAATTTTCTGAGTGAGACCATTATATCAGGTGTGCGCATTAATTCCCATCGAAAATTAGCTGTGTATGCTTGTAGGAAGCCTCAGCTGTGAAGGCAATTGCACACTGTTAAATGGGTATTGGTTATATAAATTACTGCAAAAAGATTGGTTTTCTACCTGGCCACGTTGCTTTCAAGCTGATTACACCTGGATTGTGATAAGTCGCCTTTCTTCTTTCGCTACTTGATTTCGAGAAAACTGCCAACAAATGCCATCAAGTGATTCCCGAAACTCACGGAGGACAAACTCTCTCTCTCAAAAAAAAAGAACGCTGAGGATGGTTTCAAAGATTCACGAATGATGAATTCGGTTCAAAAGACAGGGAACAACAGGGCCTCGAAGTCGACGAAAGCCGTACTGGATGCGCACTTTACCGTCTGCTGGGACAAGTACGTCCAATCTTGCTGTTAGCCAGACCTCAATCCAATGAATTTCTCTCTATGAGAGTTTCTAGATAGGACTCGCAGGACGCTCCCGCCCGCTTCGTGCTCTGAAGTTGACCCTTCAGAAGGCGTGGAATGCTATCGACGTTAATTACTTGCGGCGAACTATCGAATCAACTATGAAACGTCTAGAGGCGTGGCTAGAAGCAAAATGATGTAGTTTTGAACAAATCCTGTCCTAAATAATCAGGTGGCTCTACTTTAGTCCTAAATGAAGTTGATTTGTTCACCTACCATTATCGTTGAATTCGGCTTATAAGCTTGGCATCCTGCACTTTTCAGCCAGCCTGTATTCTGGCATATGTTTATCCACGAGTAGCTTGCTAGCCTTTGATGTGGGGTCGGTTGATTCAGGGTAACTGGCCAGGTTATTTCAGATTGGTCAAGAGGTTTATTTGTTGAAAGCGACCACCTCTTCAGTACTTTCCAGTCACAAGTAAAAAAGCAGACCTTCAGCTGAATCGATGTGCAGGATACCAACCGCATCCGCACACTCTCCATGGACGCATGCATATGTACACATACAAGGGCATTTCTCAATCCCATACACAAAAAAAAGAAAGCCGTGAATCCACTTGTATCTCCGGGCATGTGACGGTAATTTTTACCCAGCGATTCGTTACCCTATAAGCCTTCTGTGATCGTTCTAACTAGTCTCGTTGCTAACCGGCTAAGAGTCCTTGAGTGAGAGTAAATTCTGGAAGGATTTGGGGTAGTTGCATGTATCCATGAATTTGAGCTCAAAGATGAAATCGTTGGGAAACTCCTTAGAGGGAAAGGTGTGATAGGCATCACCTATGCTGATTATCGGAAAATGAAAGGCATACTCTTGTTCTATCATTCCACAGCAACACCAGCAGTGAGTAAGGGTTTACAGCTACGATCCCCGAACCATTTGGAAGAACTGTTCTTCGTTCTTCATCATCAGCGATCAAGCAAATTGTGGTGAGCGGAATTTACCTGAATTTCAGGATCTAATTTGTGTATGGTCTATTAGTGAGGCACATATTTAGCCTCGGGTTGGGCAGTCTCGACCGCAGCTGCTATTTCGGATCGCATCTGCCTTGCTACCAAGGGAAAGGAGCAGGTATGTACCCCTAAACCTATTGCTTGCAACATCTCTCTAAAGAGGGAATTTCAGGTTTATATTTCCGCAGCTGACATTTTGTCGTGCTGTGGAAGGGCTTGCAGTGATGGGTGCGGTCTTAAACTTAACTAGGATATCCCACTACGAGGAATAGACCTCATTCCTAAAAAAAACTGATTCTTAGTTCAGATGTGAAGGGGGCGATCATGTTAGCGCCTGGGAATTTTTCGAATCTGAAGGTGTAGTGTCTGGAGGACCTTACCTCGGCAAGGTACAGTACAAGCTCTGGATGTGATTTTTGAAGATATTGTAGCAGTTCGCTGATAGGGCTGTTGCCGTCCTTACCCTTTTCATCCATGTGGACATCATGGGAACGACACCTACTACGGAGAGTGTCCAGAAACGGCGGTCACTCCGAAATGCACAAGGAAATGCCAACCTGGCTTCAGGAAAATATACAGAACGGACAAGCAACACGGTAGGCGTAGAAACTTTGTAACCGTTTTCAAAGCAAGTTTAGAGGTTAACATTGAACCAGGGCTGAAAAACCCTCAATGAAATCTGAACGAGAAACTGTGAAAGTACTTGTTTACCAAGTACGTCAGCAACATTTTAAGGGATCAAAAGCAAAAATGTGTGAAGAAGAAAGCCATATCTGGTTCCTTAATAGTGGCACGACCCTGCAGAGTGCGCGGATAGGTCCACAATACATGCTACGCAAAAGGGAAAATAGACACAATCCCTTCAGTGCTCGATTTTGGGCGCGATTTGCTCTCACTCACGGTCATTCATTCTTTTCAACTGATTCCTGTCAAACTACAGTTACCGCAGAACTCTCCCTAATGGGCACAGTTCAGTGCAGGACGGAATTTGAAATGAGTTCACCTTCAAATGAATATGCTGGACACGAACATAGCATATTATCTGTGGCTTTCATATTCATAGCAAGAATGTTGTTTGGAATTATTTTATTTATTGATCCTTTTATAATTATCAGAAATATTGTTTGAAACTGAAGCATATTAAAATGTTAGGTGTGTCTGGTGGAACTTACACGTTACCGAATTCGATGAAAGCTATCCAAAGAGATATCATGAGGAGAGGTTCAGTGACTGCCACCTTTGATGTTTATGAGGACTTTTCGCACTATCAATCAGGAATCTACAAGGTAAGACTTTTCGATCATATTGAAACGTCATTTTGAATTGTACAAACAACAACAATCGAAGGGCATCAGCTGACAATGAAAAACCCTTGCAGCGTATTTGAGTTTGAACACCTCCGAATATCGCTTACACTTACTTATAGCATACCGCTGGTAGCGAACAAGGCCGCCACGCCGTCAAAATAATAGGATGGGGGAAAGAAAATGGTACGGACTACTGGATTATCGCGAACTCGTGGCATGACGACTGGGGAGAAAACGGTGGGTGTCAAACAAACTACAATTTGAAACAAATAAATTCGTAAGCTGTAATTCAATTGATCACCACATTCGTTATTTGCGAGCTTAACGGGACGATTTTCCGTGATTTTGGAATTTTAGATGTAGATTAAATAAAGAGCGTAGGCTACAAATAGATGTAAGCTTGTGTTGTAGATTAAGGACATTTTACAGGATTCTTCCGCATGATTCGAGGCATCAACGACTGTTACATTGAAGATGAAGTAGCCGGTGGAATCGTCGATGTTGACATTCTCTAAGATCATACAAAGCGGAATAAAGTTTAGCAAAAAGGAAATAACTATCCCATATGCGAAAGAGCCCTCAATGAGATTCTATCCAATGGGCGAACCTTGTTGAGAGAGGCTGCAAGAAAATATAAAGAGCGTGACGGCTTATAAATGAAGGAATTTGATTTTGTCGACCGATTGAGTGCTCGCATTTTCAGACAGGTTCCATACTTACCGGGCAAGTTGAATTGTTCACCACGCTGCACATGATCACATTCCGGATAAAGGGGAAGGAGTCTGTGTGACTACAAAAAAGCAATATCGATTGATGTTCCAATAATTAACAAGTGGGTGACTGTAAGTGGATTCGTTACTGTTCTATTATTTCCTACTCCCCATTTACCCTTGTTTCGATAAGTCAGAGCTTTTTCGGAGTTGTAATTCCTAAAGAAATTGATTTCATAAGATAAATTAGATGATCCCCCGATCTTTTTTTTACTGAGGATTCTCTCTCACTGAAGGATCTCTACGGTTGGTGACGAAGCTTTGTGGCGCAATCAAAGGTTGTGGATAGGGAACAAATCGCTTACCGAAAGTCACCGGTATTTGCTCTAAGACGCAGGTAGGTTCAGGGATGGTCCCCTTTCTCTTATGTGCTAGGTCGATCTATACCTTCCGTACCATCCCAGGTGTAAAAATTCATACATGCATGGAGGTACAAGTGCGGATGGTATTCTGTACATAGGCTCAGCTGAAAGCTCGCATTGGAATGACACGAAATTAATCTGGGAGGCGGTTCTGAGCCGTCCCTGAGAACTAAGATCTATGTTCATTCTAGCTTTACTTGGCCATCTACCCAGAGTCTACCGAAAAGCCTCAAAGCCGGCAAGCTAATGGTGGGTGCCCGTACGTAGAAAATAAAAATATAAGTGTGTAGCCTCATCTTTATCTGAGGGAGCCTCTAATATGGCAGCGTTGGGTAGGACCGCATGGGAAAAGCTGCTCAAATTCAAGGGCCATATCTGGTTGCCCAAAAAGGGAATAACTAAGACGGTGATCCGTACTTTTAATGGTCAGACGCTTGTATTGGAAGCAGGTATCGAAGATCTGATAATGCAAGCTAGGAAGATCAAGTACGAAGTCATCCGACTGACCGACACGAGAAGACACCGCCCGTTGCACGCCATTCTTGAGACTGGAGAAGAACGGTCCGGTGGATCATGCGACATAGAGACGTCAGCTGTGTAAGTGTCCTCGTCAGTACACAGTCTGCCATTAACATCAATTTGTTCGAAAGCTTGAACACTCGAATTGGACGTACGCGACCAAGAAGTTATGGCTGTGGTTCTAACAAGATGAAGAGCTGGAGCTGATTCATATTGACACGGAAAAGCTCTTTAGAGAAGACTACACTTTCTTCAAAGTCATCGTCGGTGTTCCCGAGATTATCCCCTGATGAATGGCTGAAGTGCTAAATATCGCGGAAATGAGTAGGGGGATAACTGAATGAGTTAATCATATCGATCAGCACCATCCGTAGCAATTCGCATTTGCAACAGCCCTCACATTTGTGATGGACTTGGTGGCCACGTGGTAGACATTCTATGATGAAATAGATCTCGTCATCTTCTGTCGAAGGTTCTGCCTGACTGACGTCGCTGTTGTTTCGAAGTTCTGCACAAGATCGGAGCATCGTCTTCTCCGCGATGGATTCTGAACTTGAATGTGGTGAGAGAGAACTGCACAATTCCGATAACGAAGCTCCAAGATTATATCGGGTGGGGTCAGCTCATTTCTCTTGCGAGTTGATGGGAAGATTCCGTTACCGACAATTCCGATAAGGAATATAATGGGCTCGTCGAGCATCTTCACTTCAAGGGTCACTCAACTCATCGAAGAGTTCCTCCATGGAACGCCCAAACATGCGCATGTGCGGCATCGGTAGGTATGTTGAAATCTGGGAAAAGAAATGTTCCGTCGAGAAAGGTAACGGATCAAGAAAAGTCATTGGTTCATCAATTCAGACCACACCAGTTCCACAGCAGTATTTTATCAATCGAATCGAGCTTTGCAGACGGATTATTTCTTTTCAATAAAACTTCTTTGTGTTAGACATAAATCGTCGAGAAGAACATTAGTTCGCATAATTGTCCATCCGTCTACAGACGAATATAATTTTGCTCGAGAGAGAGGTATTATCACCTCCTCTAAGCTCCCATATAGCAAAATCCTCCTCTACTGTTTACCACCCATGTATATACGGCACTACTGCGGTAGCTATGTACTCATTCGATCAAGATGAAAACACTACATACACATCTAATAACGGATATCGTGGATGAGCCCAGGAAATAGCTGCTCGCTCAATATGTTTCCGAGTTTGAAGAAATGGCTAACCAAAACTTGAGTGAAAATGAAAACCATGAAAAAGCAAATTGAGATTCTCTCATTTGCTCGCACTCTATACCCACAGTTGATATTTTTTACCTTTCCGAACAGGAAAAGTATTGTTGGTATAAAGTAAATAACTGCACCCTGGCAACCGAATAACTTATTCACTAGTGAAAACACTTCAAGACTAATCTATTACAGTACCACTGGTTTTTTGCCGGAACCTTCCCAATTATGTTGATGTAAGTGTCATAGAAAGGCAAAACATGGAGGAGCATGCTTAATTTGGAACTTACCTCGTGCCCCATTGCAAAGTTTGGCAAGCTTCGAAGCGAAAACCATTGTGCCTAAGGATGTTTTTCATCTCGAACTACACATCGTCCCTACAAAAAGCCAGACCATCCCAAAAGAACGGGTTAGTCAGCTAAACCAATTCCATAAGTGATTGAATAGAACTTGCAGGCCCATATTTGAGTGAAATGATATTCATAATGAACGAGAGATATGAACCGGGAATAGGTTCAAATGAGCATGTGTCGGAAGGAGAAAAAATAAGTAAACTAAAGCCACTGAAGCAATTTTTGGTGCATACATTTCTGAAGAAAGGCACGTAATCAATCCAAGATAGGCGTTTGGATATTTGACGACATCAACGGAAGTGTATCAGCCATATTAGTCTTCCATACAGGTTAAGAAAAGATGGAACTAACATACATCTGTTGCCCATAAGTAGAAATACTCACCATGGCTAATTCTTGGTATTCTGGGGACTTCAAACCTCAATACGGCCAGTTAAACCGAGACTGTTCTCCTATGGATAGAGCCGTCCAAAGGACCTGCAATACAGTAGGTAGCAAGCTCACATGTAAAAGAAGGATTAAAGATTTCTTCTGGTCCGAAATGAAGAACACTAGCGAGCTATTCCCTTATAATCAGAATGGCATCAATCAAAGCGAGTCATACACTGCCTAGAAAACAGTTTTCATGAGACTGACATCACGTCCTCATCAATACGTTCCTGGCGAAGGAGCCGGCTTTGAACAATGTTAGGCGAAATTTCTGCATCCCACGACCTTCAGAGGGTTTTAAGGTTCACCAAATCCTCCACAACTTTTCAACAAAACATGTGCTTCCTTCAAGGTCACAAGCCCTTCATTCCAAATCGACGAAAAATTATAGTCTGCACATATGCCTAGCATCCGGATCTGTTCATCTCGAAACTGTACAGGCCTCCTGTCCTTCAGCTCATTTCTTGAGCTGCTCCTTTCGTCTTGTGTTCCGAAGGGGTAACTAGGCCAGCACGTCATCGACTCCACTTATGGAGCTAAATATCTAACAGAAGCGTCGACGGAGTTTGAGGAGGAGAATTCCCACAACAGATTGGTTTTTTGGGTTCACCCTCCACAAAATACCACCCTGACATAGTCTCACAATATTTAATCCTCCGAATCCTTCCTCAAAAGCAAAATAGGATAACTTTTAAAATGTTGTCAGACAGGACATGGGTAGAGATGGAAGGATAGAAAAGTAGAACTGACGAGAAAATATGCATCGGATCAAAAATCAACAAGCATCGGAAAGAAAAGAAAAAGTCAAGCGAAGGCGGTTGGTGACGAGCTGATCAATATGCCAAAGATGCGGAGTGGGTGACGTAATGATCACTATGTATGTCAAAGTTGCTGGGGCCAAAAGTGCTTGTGGTTACTGCGCTACTGGTACTTCTCTTCTCTCAATGTAACGTTCGGGATGGGATACTATGCTGTCCCAGCAAAATGCTTAATCATACACCTAGTGGTTAGGCCATGTATCACCGTGTGGATCAATGTGTAACTCCGACGAAGCGGTAGATCGCATACCATCAAACCTCTACTCGATTGAAATAATAGAATGCATTTTTCATGATCAACTCACCACCCAATTTCGGCACTGATTTGAACACTCTTCTCCTCCACTTTNTTTCTTCGCCTTTTTCGATTGCCAGGTTTATATGAGATTTACAAAGTTCTGAAATGGCACTGATTACTATTTTGCAACAGAGGTTGCTCCTAAGTTTTTCCCAAAGATATATTCTGATGAGAACATCTCACATTGACACAGCTACGAAAAACTCGAAACGGGAAAAAATAGGAAAACTTAGGTTGGAAAGGAAAACAGCATCAATCAGATGATATCTAAGCATTCATCCGTAGCCGGGACGTAAGGGCATTAACACGCTTCCCACCCTTTTGATGGAACTGCTTAATTTGAAACACAAATACACAAAATTGGAACCTCTCAAGTCGCAGAAAGAAATTTTCACTTCTACCAAAAGCCGAACATAGGGGAATAAACCCCCTCTCAAAGCTAATGAAGCCGAGTCCGAATTTTCATGTACAACAGACACAGGATAAAACTATCGCCTACTAATTGTTCAAAGACCGCTTTGAAGTTGTAAAGAATCTGATGTCTGTATGTATAAGCGCAAAAGTACTCAACAGAGTAATCACTTCCAATTCAATTCAGTAGAATTTTGTGATTTTTGAATGCTCTACAGCTTTTCAGCATATCCTTCTGGCACTCGTCTTATCATAGCAGGAAGTTGTTAGTTTCCAAGATATACATAAACAATGCCTATATTTCCACAGTTGTACAGAACAAAA